ACCACACAACAGCTAGACATTCTTTTTCGGTAGTCGAATAATTTTGCTCAGGTTTGCTCAGTGTTCGACTTAAATATGAGATAACTTTTTCTTTATCGCCGAACTTTTGGACTAATGTTGCACCCAGGCCGATGTTAGATGCGTCAGTATGAATGTAAGTAATTGCATTCGGGTCAAAGTGCCCTAAGATTGGAGGATTTATCAATGCTACTTTAAGGGTTTGAAATGCTTTTTCTTGATTTTCTGTCCAGGTAAAAGGTACATTCTTTTTTATAAGACTGGTTAATGGAGCGGCAATTTTTGAAAAACCTTTGATAAATTTTCTATAATATGAGCACATTCCTAAAAATGATTGAACTTCTTTTATCTTTTTGGGCCGAGGAAAATCTCTAATAGCCTTGATATTATGCTCCGCTGGTTTTATACCATGTTGATTAGTTATATGGCCAAGAATCTCCAGTTCTTCGAAAGCAAATTGGCATTTTTTGTTGTTCAATTTTAAATTAGCCTCGCGAAAACATTTTAAAACAGCTTCTATTCTTTTGAGATGTGTTGAAAAATCCGAGCTATAAATGATTACGTCATCTAGATAACATAAGCAAATTTGCCATCTAAGATTACCAAGCATATTTTCCATGTTCCTCTCAAATGTAGCAGGGGCATTGCATAGACCAAAGGGCATTACGTTGAACTCATATAGGCCATGTGCTGTAGTGAAGGCTGTCTTTTCTTTATCTTTCTCCTCAACCTCTACTTGCCAATATCCTGATTTAAGGTCAATTGCTGAAAAGTATTTGGATCCTTGAAGTGTATCCAATACTTCATCAATTCTGGGAATTGGGTAAACATCCTTCACTGTTACATCATTCAATTTTCTGTAGTCAACGCAAAATCTGTACTTACCATCTCGCTTCTTGACCAAGATTTACAGGGAAGGACCATGGACTCGAGGATGGTCTAATTATGCCGTCTCTGAGCATTTCATCAATTTGTTCTTTTATGATTTCTCGCTCTTTCGCGCTCACCCTATACGGCTTGTGTTTGATCGGTTTCGCGCCTTCTGTATCGATCCGATGTTTCGCTAAGTTGGATCTTCCTAATCCCGACGAAAACAAATCCTCGTACCTTTCCAAAACTTGTTTCAATTGCTCCTTTTCCTTATATGCTAAATTTTCGTTTATCTGAAATTGGGGTTCTTCATGCTCTTTTTGTTCACTTTCTTCCATAAGATTCACTTCGGCTGGCTGGCTTCCAAAGCACAATGTTTGGTTTTTTAATATTTTTAATGGTCGAGGGTAAGGGTTTGTTATCCAGATATATGTTTCCTTATTCACAACATTTATTAAGCTTCTCGCTAGTCGAAGTCCATTTGTTTGAAACATTTTATGGTTCTCCTCGATGATGTATTCGCCATCCTCTGCTTCTACAAATGCATTAATCAATTTAATAGAAAGTTCTGGTATAATGGCATCCTTTGCACTTTTTATTTTCTTCTGTTGATATTTGATTACGTCACGATTTTCTGTCAAGTCATATTTGATTATTTCACGCTGACAATCAATTTTTGCGTTCATTTTCTTAAGGAAATCACGTCCAAGTATAAATATTCGCAAATGTGTTCTCATTATCACAAATTGATGTGTGATTGTTTTGTCATCAAATTTTATATTTAAAATAATATTTCCTACGATATCTAATTCTTTGCCATCGGGTCCGGAGCACATTTTATCAGGATTTATTATTTCAAGACCTGTGTTGAGAGCTGTATTAAGGTCGACCACTGAAAGATCGGCGCCTGTATCAATCAAAGCTTCGCAGATACCGATTCTATCCACGTTAATGTTCATTTTATATTTGGGGTCCAACTTTTTAATTCCATTTATGGTCGACTTGCTTTGATTGACGGACTCAGGCACGATGTTTAGTTTAAATCTTCTAATGCGGCATATCTATTCCTTGTTGGGATACTCGAGTACGGGCTATTACTTACGTCCGCGTATAGCAGAGGTCTCGACTTCTGAGTTCCATTATCCATTCGGATTTCTTCTTCGACCTTGTCTTGTGTAACTATGGGGTCCTCTTCCACAATTCTTACAAACCTGACTCTGCAATACCGCGCTACGTGTCCTGGCTTGTTACACTTGAAACATATTGGTCTCCCGTCTTCTGTCCTATTCCTATTTGAATTTGGATTCTTATTGTATGTTTTACTTGGGTAGACCGGTTTTGGCTCAGGATTGGGAGTGTAAGATCGTCTAGGGGCAGAGGCTTGTTCTGGTAATACCTCGGAGTGGAGGCCTGGGGCTTGGAGGTGTTCTGGTAGTACCTCGGAGCGGGGGCCTGGGGCTTGGAGGTGTTCTGATATGGTCTTCTGAACGACGTAGCATTCTTCCATTGCTCTTGATGATGGGGACGAGGAGAGCGTGGTCCATTATAAAGAGCTTTTGATTTTTCTGCACGTTCTTGGTAATTCTTTTCGAACAAATCCAGCTTTTTACAAATTTCTAGAAGTTCATTGGTATTTTTAGGAGGGTTTAGGTGAATGGCAAAAGAGTATTCTTTCTTTAACCCTCCAATAACCCAGTTTATTTTAGTCTCTTCTTCCATTTGGGGGTCGACCTTGTTGCACAGTACAAGGATATCCTCTGCGAACCTGATTGCAGGTTCATTCCACTGCTGCATTCTGTTTAGCCTCATCTTCATTTCTTCTTTGTTGGCGTCTGAGGCAAAATCCTGAATTAGGCGGCTCTTGAAATTTTCCCAGCTGGTGAAACTTATCTTGTGTAGGTTCAGCCAGGTTTTGGCGCTACCAATCATATTCATGGCAGCATAACGAGAGCATAATGTAATCTGCCCAATGGTACAGGAAGCCAATTTCTTCAAGAGATTCAATCCATGGGCGAGGGTCTTCCGTTCCATCAAACTTGGGGATGTCGATGTTGGGATTCAGGACAACTGGGTCGGAACTAGCATCTCTACCAATTGTTGCACCAGGTTGCGGCTTGGCAGACTCTTCAGGCATGATTCTCTCCTGTGCTGGGTCTTGCATCTTACCAGAGCGTGTTTCAACCATCCTACAAATTTATATAAGGGAATAATGAGATAAGTCTACTTTAAGTACCCTCCAGAATCATTTATTTATTTCCTCACATCAAAGAGAGCAGTGAAGTCACACGTGTACCTAAATACAAATGATGATAATCTAAAAAATAATCTGTTTTAAATAAATATCATAGAATATAAAAATAAATAAATATATAATTTAAATTTCAAATATATTAAAAATGATATAAGAAATACGCCATTAATCATGATGTAACAATATATGTCAACATATGTATAATTATTTGTCAACACTAACAAGATTTAGAACAGGCCATGCTTTCTTGTCTTAGAACAGGCCATCTACATCCAATGATTTTCATAAGTGGATCCAAAACCTTTCCGAATTGCACCAAATGTCAGGATTCTCCAGAGAGCCCAGAACACATCACATCGGGCATTGCCGAACAGACATCTACGCCGACCCAGCTGTGGTCATCGAGGCGATAAAAAGGCATGGCCTTCAGGATCTGGTCTAGACTTGAAGTCAAGACCTGGGAAGAGAAAAAAAAAAAAAAAAGAACAGGCCATCTCAAGCCATTGAAGATAGAAAATAACAACAAAATCTACTCCACTTGTCCAAAATGTAACTTGGCACCTACATCTCCAGAACACATTTTGGCTTGCATTAGATGTACTAAACAGGACCTTTGGGAGAGGCCGCTGCTTATCATAAAACAGCTCAAGGAGCATGGACACATGGAATTCGTGTAAACTTTACACAAGGGGATAAGAAACAACAACAACAAATTTATTTGTTCCTTATGTTCTTTATGTTTCCTCAAAATTTAATCAATCTGGCTAAAATTTTAAAAATTATATAGAGTTAATTCAGGAAGAGCTTTTTGTCCCATTTTCAAAACCAAGGAAAATTCAAATTAACCAAATTAACCAAATATTTGCCTAAATTTACTTTATTTTAGTCAATAAATGATTAAATATTGCTGTATCATGCTTGATAGACAAAAACAAACTTCTTTCGAAGACCATTCACTTGAGCAGAAGACAGGTTGAATCATTTTTAACGGACAGGAACAAGATTCTTACAACAAATGTTCACTTGAGCAGAAAACAGGCGAAGCCTGGTCAAATATCTATAAAAGGAAAGTCCAAAGTTCACTTGAAGTCTTCTACATTATATATATATATAAAAATCCTAACACATTTTTTTCTATCATCCATAATACACAGTGGTAGAGGCCATGATAATCATGGTGGATTGAAGAAGCAGTTATGCTTTTACTCTAAGAGCACATGTCTACACATCTGAAAAGCAATTTGATTTTTGCACTTACAAGTGTGTTAGAGACCCGTTTCACTAAGTTTCATTCACTGGTGTGGTTGAACTTTTGCAGGAACCCTGGGTCATTTTTTTTAATTAGAAAAAAAGTGTCAAATGCGAGATTCGATCTCAGGTCATAGCGATCAAAAACCAACTCTACCGACCACCCCTAATAAAAATTAAAAATTTATCAAGTATGTGTATAGATAAAAATGCAGTTGAAATATAGGCTTTTAAAAGCCTATTCAAAAAGAACCAATAACTAATTTACACTTTTTAGATGGAGGTCGATTGAAGGATGGTCTAAACTGTTGGTTTTTGATCGCTACGTCCCGGGATTGAATCCCGCATTGGGCACTTTTTTCTGATTTAAAAAAAAATGCTCCAATGGCCCCCAATTCTTGCAAAAGTCCAACTCTACCAGCGAGTGCAAGTAACCAAACGGGTCTCTGGCATATTTATAAGTGTAAAACGAAAATTGCAATTATACTGCGAATGTTTCTTTTAAACAAAAATCGAAATCTATTTTAAAGAGAAACAACGACCATTTCTAACCCCAAGGATGAAGTATGATAGGATGAATTGTGAAGAGTAATGACAAACGGAAAAATAAAAGTGTCCAGGGGCGGGAATCGAACCCACAACCTTCTGCTTACCGGGCAGGTGCCATGTCCACTAGGTTTTACAATCATGATTTACAATCATCAGCCGCGTTATATTGTATTTTAAATGTATTATAAGTTACTTTAAATATTATTTACAAACGGAAAAATACGTCCAGGGTAGCCTAGTGGACATGGCACCTGCCCGGTAAGCAGAAGGTTGTGGGTTCGATTCCCGCCCCTGGACACTTATTTTTCCGTTTGTCATTACTCTTCACAATTCATCCTAGGGTTAGAAATGGTCGTTATTTCTCTTTAAAATAGATTTCGATTTTTGTTTAAAAGAAACATTCGCGGTATAATTGCAATTTTCGTTTTACAATCATCAGCCACGTTATATTTATAAGTGCAAAGTCCAACTACCTTTCACATGTGTAGACATGTGATGCACTTACAGTAAAAGCAGTCGCCTACTTCTACCGACCATGATTATCATGGCCTGTACCACGTGTACTAGGGATAAGCAAAAAAAAAACTTTTTTTGAGAGAGAAATGGAAGTTAGATTTTGAAGGATTTGAGCCCATAGTTTGAAAATATCTAAATATTCAACTAATTTACTTATTTTGGGTTCATAAATTAAAAAGCACAATTTGGACTATAAATTAAAGACAAGATAATAAGACCAAATCCAAATACAGTGAACCTCCATGAGAGGACACCTCTCTATAAATGATATTTTTCATTTGCAAAATTACCATTTTTAATATTTAGCGACTCTCTGATTAGAGGACACCTTGGCTCTGCAATTAGATATGCTTTACAGGGGGGGTTCATAAAATGTTTTTTTTTTATTTGCTTATCCCTAGTATACGTGGTACAGGCCATTATAACCATGATGGGTAGAGGTAGGCGACTGGCTTTACTGTAAGTACACATGTCTACAAATGTGAAAAGCAGTTCGACTTATCACTTACAAATGTGCCAGAGCTCCGTTTGGTTACTTGCACTCGTTGGTGTGGTTGGACATTTGCAAGAATCGGGGGATATTGGAGCATTTTTTAAATCAGAAAAAAAAGTGTTTAATGCCAGAATCGAACCCAGATCTTAGCAGTAAAAAACCAACGGTTTAGACCATCCTTCCACCGACCCAGGGATCATAAAATATGATGCTAGAATTGTTTAATATAATGCATTCTTATAATATTACTAAAATTTTGGCCTATTTCACAAACAGGTCTAAAATGGCAGCTAGCTCTAAGCCTCAAAAATAAATTATGAAAGGCTATATTTTACTAATGGATGATAAGGAACAATTTGGATTATAAACACAAGGTATCTCTTGTACATAATTGGAATCCTCATGAGTAATTAATATATATAGTGATAATGATACCACATGTTAGATATGGTGAGATGAGAGTCATAAGTAAAGGAGAGTGAGGTGTCCCAACAATTTATTAGAACTTGTTGAAGGACTTGGCGGCAGAGGCAGACTTGACCACCTTGAGGACATTGAACCTGATGGTCTTGCTGAGGGCCCGGCATTCTCCTACAGTCACTGAGTCACCCACGGCCACATCCCTGCCACACCAATACCTCATCACTTTACACTCAACAATAGGTAATGTGAAACTGCAAGAATCAACTGTCTAAACACACATCTCACAAACTGATGTACTGCTGGCAAGTCACATATTCACTACCTACCACCTAGCTGGCTAAAATTGCCATGTATTTTGGGCTATTTTTACTTCTGTGGTTTGATTTTTTCTTTTTGTGTGTCATTTAATTTAGTATATTTGGGACTATTAAGAATTCTTAATAGGAGAAAGTATCAAGAAATTTTATGAAGATTTTGCATATACAGTAGAACCTCTCTGTAAAGGACAACACCTAATTGCTAAGCTAAATTGTCCATTAGGGAGAGGTGTCTCCTTACCGGAAAGTTGCAAAATACTAAAAATGTTAATTTTGCAAATGAAAACGGTCCTTGTAGAGAGGTGTACTCTAGCGCAAGTATCCTCTCATGGAGGTTCTACTGTAGTTATAAAATATACATTAATGCTTAGCCCAATTGGGACATAACTATTAGTGCCGTAAATAGTTTTCATTTTTAAAAAATTACTAAATGACAATTTTAATGACAAACTAGCATTTTTTGGATAAAACTTGGAAGAGCAAATGACAATAGTTGACATGTTGGTTAAGATAATTTCAGTTAAATCTCTCTGCACCAGAGAGGTTATATATTGAGAGTTAGGTGCACATTATTCATGAGGCTATTTTGCATAATATAGTTCAAGCCACAACATATAAAAACCATCAGCCAACATATACATGCAAAATATAAAATGCTGAGTAATATAATGGTTTGTTCAAAGGCTAGTTTATATATTTGCAAGGCCAACCATACTTGCAGCTATAACAGAAAACATTACATCTTGGGATAAAATAATTTACTTTGAATCCCACCATAGTGATACTCAGCCCTCAATGAAAAGATGAAATGATAGAGATTATAATAACTGAACCAAAACGTACCTGAAGGCGGGGGAGAGATGGACAGACATGTTCTTATGTCTCTTCTCAAAACGGTTGTACTTGCGCACATGGTGGAGGTAATCTCTGCGGATCACAATGGCACGCTGCATCTTCATCTTTGTGACGGTACCACGCAGGATGCGACCACGGATGCTGATGTTGCCAGTGAAGGGGCACTTCTTGTCAATGTAGGTGCCATTGATGGCCTCACGGGGGATCTTGTAGCCCAGACCTGGGTTCCTGGTGTAGCGCAGGTTCTTCTTCTTGGCTGCAGACGGCTTGCTGTTGAGGAAAACAGTAGGCTGCTTCTGATAAGCTCTCTCAGTCTGAACACACAGGAGCCGTGGTTAGTGGTCATATAACTCAATACTTATATATATATATATTTTTTTTAATATTACTGGCCAACTTGTCAAGGATTCCATATTAGCACAAAGCCTCATTTTCTAAAGTTCAACTAGGACACCTGATATATATACAACTTTATTCATTGCTCTGCCCTAAATGCCTGTAATTTCTTACACTTATGATGATTTTGTAATGTAGAAAATTAGGAAAGACAAAATTCAGGATGACACGGCAATTTATTTGAGACAAGAATAATGATACAATTCCAAGGCAAGATACTATTCCTTTAACTTCCAATTACCGAGGGAACCAATTAATATTGATTTTATTCAACTTATCGAGTATTTTTCAAGGGACCGGGAAAAAATGTTCACTTTATTGAGAGATTCGTTAGACAAACCTTTACTCGGGTAAAACCCGGGCGAAGCCGGGTACGTCCATACAAGAATAATGATACAATTCCAAGGCAAGATACTATTCCTTTAACTTGCAATTACCGAGGGAACCAATTAATATTGATTTTATTCAACTTATCGAGTATTTTTCAAGGGACCGGGAAAAAATGTTCACTTTATCGAGAGATTCGTTAGACAAACCTTTACTCGGGTAAAACCCGGGCGAAGCCGGGTACGTCCGCTAGTTATATATAAAAGTTATGGAGCCAATTGAACAAAATTTAAAATTATGAGAGACTACTAGAGAATTATATTGAACTAATGCATTGGAAGAAGATTTTGTAAAATGTTTTACACTTCCCAAATATATACCCAGGATACAAATATGGTTCACACAATTATTCAATTTTTTTAAAGAGTTCCAATTTTGGGGTAGATAACTGAAAATTTTGGACTAAATACAGTACAGTACTTTGATGTATGCAAGCTCTGTATGCAACTTTTTGTACTGCTCTGGCTCTTGTGTTATGACTTTTGTTGGAATTTTTACTTAGCAAAAGTTTCATTTTCCATGTTCTGCTAAGTTGAAACCTGTCTGTCATTCTTGTTAGTCCCATCTATCAAGGAAACTTTAGGCTATATAAATCCTCATGCAATATTTGAACTATGTTGCCTGAAATCAAGGAAAATGACATGCACTAATATCTGGGTATCTCAAAGAATTCGAAACAACCACATTTAAGTCTTTGTGAACTTTTAAGCGCAGAGGATTTAGTTAAAACTTGCGATTTTGATTCTTCAGTGCCTAATCACTCCATTTATTTTTAGATAAAAACATCTATTATCAACTGATTGCCGAGGTACATATCAACTCTAGTAAAATAAGACCTACTACAATCTTTCTTGGATTCTTTATATCTATAATCCAAATTGTGCTTTATCGTAAATAAGGTATTAATATTTCCATATCTTGTAACTATTTGTTCATATATAGTAGTAAGGAGATTGAATGAATGGCTATCTAGGGGGCCAATTTGTTCAAATATTCAGTTGGGCCATTGCCCTGCAAAGTAAAACAAAATGTTCTTAATACTTTGTCTCATTGTTTTGTGCATCCTATGTTAGTCCAATCTATATTGATAGGAAATGTTAGTATATTATATATAAAAGGACCCTAACTTTATCCAATACTGTATCATTTATAATACTTTCTTGCAGTACTCATTAGATTTTAAGAATGGCCAGATGATAGTACAAACAAAAAAGGTCTAGATATCAAATTGGAGAATAGGATCACCAAAAGTCAATCTTGACTTGAAGGATATTAACAACACTTTAGTTCAAATTTTTATATATACTATAGATGTATTTTTTACATGTTTTAACTTAATTGACTTTCTATATTTTAAATAGATATTTAAAATATAATATATCTATTTAAAATATAGAAAGTCAATTAAGTTAAAACATGTAAAAAATACATCTATAGTGTATATAAAAATTTGAACTAAAGTGTTGTTAATATCCTTAAAGTCAAGATTGACTTTTGGTGATTCTATTCTCCAATTTGATATCTAGACCTTTTTTTGTTTGTACTATCATCTGGCCATTCTTAAATGAATACTGCAAGAAAGTATTATAGATGATACAATATTGGATAAAGTTAGGGTCCTTCATGATTCTTTTATTATAAATCTAGTCCAACCCTACCAGTGAGTGCAAGTAACCAAACGGGGCTCTGGCACATTTGTAAGTGCAAAGTCAAACTGATTTTCACGTGTAGACATGTGGTGCCTTTA